AGGAAATGGAAAGAGGAAACAGTGAGGGAGAGGAAAATGAGATACCCCTGCAAGTCTCTGGAGTGTCCCCTGGTTGTGTAAGTATGTAATCTCAAATCAGAAGCCTGAACATGGTAATGATTTAAATCACTTTGATTTCAACCCATCTACCACACTACTGTTATATCACGCAATACATTTTTCAAGCACACAAAAGGCAATACTTGCATCAACAATAAAATTCAATGATTCCCCCCACCCAGCTAGAAAAAAAAACTGCTGCAATTAAAAGAGGGATTAGACTATCACAGGCTTCTACTGGCAACTCCTCAGAACATCAGAGGTGATGAGAAATAACAATTATTCTCTCTCTCTCACTGCCCAACCCAACTATTTTGGCACAGTATGGTGACCTATTTAACTTTATATTGCATTCTAACAGTTCTTAAAGAACTGAATCATCCACACTACTCAGGGATAGAACTGTTTGTGCAGCCTGTTAAAACCTAGCAAACTTAAGCAAAGGAAAACCTTCTTCCGCAGTAATGCCCTGCCATTTTCTGAAAACAATATGGACATCTACCAGTACATAAGGTGTCTTTGCCTTTGATTAGATGGTAGACTTCCTATTGTGCTATGAATTCTCTTGTACTCTGCAGCGCTATCAGGAAAGCAGCAGAAGTGGTCTAGGTAGACCTTTGGTCAAGCTAGAAAAAAAACTTTAAAACACTGTGCAGAATAAGATTTTATTCTCATGCGTTTCAGGATCTTCTTTTCCCTCCCACATATTTTACAGTTCAGAAGCTAACAAAGTAGGTGTGGATATCCATAATTTCAGATATGTAAGCCTATATCCCTTGAAAACAGTACATCTCAAAACATTAGGGATACATTTTTTCTGCAGTTTGATGTATTCAAAGGGCATTTTTACAGTTGTCTGAACCCCCTTGTTGCCTCACTCTTAGGCAACCTCCCTCCAAATCCCTGGATGTATTCAGCTATCACAACGACATCCCTAGTGTATGAAATGTCTAGTCAGGCCTTAAATGCTTGAAATTTCACAACCTTGTCTTGGCGACTGGTCTTACCGTCTAACATTTGTTCTATTTTTATAGATCCATCATTTTACCTAAAATTAGCCAGCTGGAAATTCAGAGCTGTCCCCCAAACAAGGACATTTACCACCTCAACAATCTCCATTTCTGTTTTCCAAACAGACACAGCTCTACACATGCCTATGTACAGCTCCAGCACCCTACTGCTGATATCAAAGGTATGACACCATCACAATTTCAAGTGCTTAATTTGTCAGACAAGATGCACTGGGACTTGGAGCCACTCCCTTCCATGCCCAAGTTTTGCCTGTATTACTGAGAAAGAACTGAACTCAGAAGCAGTCCATCCTTCTGCCACCCCACAGGATCAGCGAAATCTGGTCCCTCCACATAGGACTTGACGTCCAAGATCCTTAACCATCTCCTGTTTTGCTAAACTCTGAAAAGGTTTATTCCAATGTGGCTGTTAAGGTGGCCTGGTACTGGAAGATCTATCCCATTCCCACAGGCAGGCGAGTTGATTCTATTCTGCACTTCAGAGAATCAAAGCAACAATATCTGGAAAAGCTGCTAGTTAAAAGGACAGCAAATCCTCATCTTAAAACACATACAGGGGCTTATTTCCTGTCCAAACCGGGGAGGGGAAAGGTTAAAAGTAGTCCCCTTCTACCCACCCCACCCATCCCAGCTTTAAAGGCAGTTGGCTGTCATGCCATGTGTAATTTGGTTCATAGTTTCATACATTGTGGGCCTGAACCCCCACTCCTCTTCAGTTCAGGAAGCACAACAGGTAGCTATGGCAGTAGAAATGTTTAGGACTGAAGTACCAGCCAGTTTTAAAGACACAATACTAGTATAAACACTTTTAATGCTGGGTCAAGGTGATCTGTTATAATATAGCTTTTTGATACTTCTTCTGGGGGAAACAGCTATAGTAATCTCAGACCCAGCATTTCTAGACACAGCATCCTTTGGACAGACATTTTCCCATGCTTATCTCAAGCCAGTGGACGTGGAAGAGTGCAGAGCCATTGGTCATCTGCAAGAATGTGAGTGTAAGGGGTGTTGTTTGTTTGTTGTTTAAGTGTCTATTTAATAACTGCTGTTTTTGAATTTTGCAGTATAAAATACCCCAATATTTCTTACTGCCCGTAATGTAGAGAGACACAATCGTCTTAAACTTTCACCAATAGATAGGTCTAAAGCAAACTCTGATTTTCAAAGCTCTGTCCATATCTGACTTTTACAAGAATTTGATACACATATAATCTTTTTAGTTTTAACTCCTAAATTTAACTATGCCTTTTTTAACTCAGAAAAGCCTCATCTGTTGACAATGAAGCATGTTAGGAATGACACTGTGTTGCACATCTTCAATCATACTTGGGGCCCACAGCCTTTCAGCATTCACCCTGGACATAACTGTTTCTAGGGGTCTGAGGGCTCTGTTCTCAAACTGTTCCTCAAAGTTCTCAGAATTCCCATCTACAAATACTGATGTAGAATATTCTCCAACTGTATTCTTACTGATTGAATATTCATCCAACATTTTTATTTTATATTTGATTTATATACCGCCCTCCCCATAACAGGCTCAGAGTGGTGTACACCAATTAATACAATACAATTAAAACAACGTTAAAATGACAGATCGCACAGAATATCGTAAAATACCATATAAAGACAGAGAGATCAGATGTCATGCATAGCTAAGATCCCTATTAAACGATACCTCAGCAAGAACAGATCCATAATATGGAGATGGCAATACCGGCCTCTCTTACTAGGTTGCTGTATGGATTTCCAAGAACATTATGAAATACTCTGAATATTTAAATGCATTATATAAATGCCAAACAACATTTTACGGTTAGCACATACAGTATTTGGTGACTCACATGCACTGATAACATGCATGGGTATTTAACAGTTCAGAAATTTTGCATATTTGATACCCACCAATGAACCTAAAGCTCCTGAATTCAGCAGTACACATTTCACACTTCAAATATATTTCATTTT